CAGGGGCCTAAATGGGCACCCTTCTGCCTGGTTAACATCTGAATCAGTTTTCCATCAAGGCATAGCAGGTGAAAGAGGGGTGGGCGGTTGGCCCAGAAACAGGTGGGTGGGCCAGGATCTAACTGGCACTGGGAAGGCCCCCTGTTACAGGCTACCAGCCCTGCTGCATTCATCCTGCTCTGCCTTAACGCACACAAGGCAGACAAGGTTCTTTGCGACAATATTATATCTTTTATTAGACCAACTGAATAGCTGGAGAAATATATCTTAGCAAGCTTTTGAGTTTAAAAACCCTTTGTCAGGCTGAGGAAGCATTTGCAGTTGATGTGTGTGCTTCATGCCCTCAGAAGGGGCTACTGTACCCGCTGCCTTCATCCCGCTTTGCCTTAACACACACAAGTGATACAAGTTTTGCTTTCAACAGTTTGAGGGGCACTTTCACAGAACCCCCTGCTCCTTGAAACATGGAAGGCTTTATGCCCTCAGAAGGGGTTACCATCCCTGCTGTTTTCACCTGAATCAGCAACAAAATTACAAAGTTATAGGTATTTTAGTGATTCCCCATTATAGTCTATGGCTGAATCTCCAGATCGGTGCTGAATCTCGAATCCAATTTGGCCAAATCGAACAGGCACAGTGACTCAAATCGCTGAATTGAATCACTGTCCCTCCAAATCAGCTGAATCTGAATCCAATACTTGCCGCTTCACACAGGCCTAATTGGCACACCAGGAGTGCAGTGAGCAGGCTTCACCCTGGGAAAACCATCAGCAATCTTGCACTTAGGATGCCTGCCATGGACTTGGGGAGTATCTGAAGTCTCAGACTGATGGGCCTGGGAGGAAGGATACTTGCCGGGTGGTGAAGTCTCACAGACTTGAATGACTGAGTCCTGCTCAGCTGACATTTGGAACTTGACTACTGACCTCTGCTCAAGTGAATTCTGAATAGATTTTTTTTAATGGATTGTTATTTATTATTAATTTTGTTTCAAGGGCTGTTATCTGTACTGGGATTTCATTACCAGATATTGTGGAGATTTAACATCTGTGTTGTCTGACCTATTATGATAGATGTTGAGGTTGTTTCTTCAAAAATGGGGAGTTTTCTGTATTGTTTAGGAGTGTGCAAATTAGAGCTGGAGAGCCAAATTTGGTCAGCAGAGCAATATCCTGTACATGCAGTATATGGACAGAGCTAATCATATGAATTTATTCATTGATGGGAAATTGAAAAGATCATTATCTGTTGGATATGTATCTTTCTTGCAAGATTAATAAAGTATGATAACATAGATGGAAAAGTTCTATTAGTTAAAAACCATATCGGTAAAGACCATTACATTCAACCCAGAAGTCCAAGGTATCTCTGCACATTACTTATTACAGGTTTCCCTCGCTTTATGCTGTACGTGTGTTCATGGAAAACGGCACATAACTCAAATTTGCATAAAGGGAACCCACTTTACAATGTAACAAATAGGGATACGTTCCAAGACCTTTTCTGTACTGACCCCCAGGCCCATTTCTACCACTTTTACAAGACAATTTTGGTACTCACCAACAGAGACAGTACACAAAAGCACAGGACACTATCATAATGGGGATAGCAGCTACAGAAACACGTTTCAGACAATGAGCGAGGAACACAGATTCACACAGGAGACTATATTTTGGTGTGCGTCACTCATGCAATGCACTGCACAAAGCAGCTGACTGTGGGCTTCCACCACACCAATCGCATAAGAGTGAATTTACCTTGCCTATAATGAATTTTTGGTATAAAAAGGGTCTTTGTACAAGAGCGAATTTGCACATACAGAACCTGCATAAAGCTAGGGAAACCTGTACTAGTTATTTACATGTAGTGCTTTAATAGCAATTATGCAAATTTAGTGTTGGTACTCAGTGTCACAGCGTTTGGACACCTCTGATTTAGGATGGCCTCCCGTAGAGAAAAGTTACTTTGGAATCTTCTCAAGCCAGCTGGAGAGAGAAATCAGCCTTGCTATAAATGCAACATTAGCTGTTGGTATCAGATCATTTGTTTGTTGTATACAAAATGGTGGATCATTGCCACTTATTACAAATAGTAGTAGAGAGAGCTGGAAGAGTGGGAGAGACTTTCCCCCCTTCTGTTCAGTTTGATCCTTTCTTTATGATGCATTCCAGTGACAGCTCAGCTTCCAGGAGCAGATGGCTACACAGGAGGGAAGATTATCTTCATTGATACTGAAAACACTTTGTATCTTTTTAATGAAGCAAGTTGCAAGTTTGATGGCATGGCATAGTGATGCATTTTGCAGTAAGCATAACGCCCCCATAATCTCTTTACATTTTGTTTGACAAGACAGGTAAAACACACTGAAAAGCACTGTACATGAATAAAGGTATGGAGTTGTCTATTGAACTTGACCTATGGCATCATGAGAAAAAATAAAGCAGTATAATTTACTGTTATTATGAATAAGTAAGGCAAGAAGGCTGAATAGTTCCAGGTACGGAAGTTCTTATGCAGTGCCTCTTATCTCTCAGTCATTAGTAATAATCCATCCCAATTTTGGGTTGAAGGCACAATACAAATCTAGTTACATCTTTTCTGTATTTCTAGTATGCCCATCTCTACAACAACTATAATAAAAGTTTTTCATATTTAACACTAGGTTCCAGGTAAGTAGTAATCCCTGCTGTTACTACCTTGTTATCACCACTTGTTATCTATTTGATGAACAGTGTAAAATTGTTTTTGGCTTTCTTTCCAGTCCCTAGGAGCCATATGTCTATATCATAAAAAATAACGTTGCCCTGAGCTGCGATTTGTGCTTTTATTCAAGTGGAAGCAGAGATTATGGGGCCTTGTCTGGGAAGAAAATAGATATTAATGTAGTTTCCATACTAAATTCAAACTTAAATATCATGATTTGCATTGTTTATTCAAATAGAATCCTTAACTGTGACATACTGTAGCCGTCCAGATCGTCTTCGTGACATTGCTGATCGTTTCAGTGTGAACCATGATGCAGTTCTTGACAATGTGCTGTATGCTCGTGCATATACCAGTAAGATCATCATTGGAATAGGCACAGAAGCCTATTTTTTTCTGTAGTTCTCAGTTTATTTACTGAGACTTCCCACTCATGATCACTAAAATTTTCTGAGACTGGGGCAAAGGTTGGAAGCTTGCTTCCATTTTTCTGTGTGATTGTCTTCTGTAGCAGATCTTCTCAGGACAGTATTTCCTGGTCAGTAATGTTTTATAAATTAAATTCCAACAATGCAAAGTAAATTCTATTTGATATCTGAGTATCACCATATCATCTGAATGTGACTGCTTTGAAACACTATGGGAAATAGCACACTGGTACCTATGAAGACTAGTCATGAGTGCTTCAGTATAGGCCAACAGTAAAAATAGGTGATTTTTTATTGTGACTAGGAACCTTATAGACAAGGCTTCACTCATTCTGAGGTGAGCTCTTTATAGCCTGCAGCACTATGGAACAGCAGATTGAAAACTCTGGTGTAGCGTCAGGTAAATTTATAAGTGAAGGGTTTTTTCCCTGAATTAATTATGGGGATTAATAATGTGCTTAATACAATGTTCCTTGTGTTACTTAATTTTATGTTCAATTCAATTCATTGTATGTTGTCCTTCAATTTAAAATCTGCATCAAAACCTGTCTTGCATAATTGCACTCTATAAATTATTATGAGAAAATTAAAGGTTTTGATAGTTGAGTAGGTGGTAGGTGGAATTCACAGATGCCAGAGAAGCCTTTAGGGTTTGTGAGATAAACACATTAATTTTATATTGCTATAAAAATTATTGGTGGTGATGCAGTAAACAATGGTGACATTTCATCTGTCATCTTAACTTTCACAGCACCCCCTTTATGAATGAGGCAGTTCACACATCTCAGAAATATCACTTCAAGCTGTCTACAAACTGCAAAATTTAATGTTTCAAGAATGAAAACTGAGAAATCTATATTGTGCCAGGCAGTGCCATGCTAAGCATGTTGCTGTTAGGCTGAGATATGGCATGCTTACTCCAACCCAGGTAGATTCTGAACCAGTAGTGCTGCTGCATGTGTGGCACATGTGACCCAAAAAGCTCTGCTAAGTGATGTTCTATAAGACTGACTTTATTGGTACATAAACATCACTGCACTAAGGCAATGACGCTACTTTCTATTTGGGAGCTGGAGGGTGCGGTATGTCTCAGCATGGCATTGCCTTGAGCCATACAGAGCTTTTTGATGCACAATTCTATAAGTAGTGAGTGGACACTAAACATTTTGAAGCCACAGAATCATGGAATACATGGGACCCTGCTTATATACACTCTCAGTTTCCTGACTTGCTTCCATCATCTTAATAGTTAAGCTAATACCATATTCAGAAAAAAAAATTGTTGGTACAGTTTATATTCTGCATGAGTATATAGCCTAGGAACTGAAAATAAGCGATATCCTTATCTAAAGCATGCACTTACCTACATTTAGTGTAAACAGTGCTCATTAACAAGGTCTGCACTAACTTTTTCACACCTTATTAAGGCTTGTTACCATTTCAGAAACCTTATGTACTTAATACCAACGTAGCAACAGAAATGATTAAGGCTGGTTTCAAAGTCTTGAAATTGATTCTCCTAATCAGTTTCATGAATCACTAATTTAAGGGGAAACAAATAAAGTGGAAAGACAAAATGCCAAACACAGGTGCTAGAGTATGTAGGACTGACACACTTAGAAACCACTATTGAGAAGAGGAGGTTGCAATGGCTTGGCCATGTTAGGAGAATGGGAGGAGACTGTATCCCCAAGAGTATTTCATGCAGAGAGATTTAGGACAGCTCTAGAAAGCAGGGTCACCCCTTATGGCACTACCATGACGTGCAAAAATGATATGAAGTTGTTCAACATCAATGAAAAGCTGAAAGGAGTAGGCAGAATCCCATCCAATCTGGAAGGAACATCTGGAATTGTGTACAGATCAACATGAAGTGGCTTTGATCCAGAGGATGGAAGAAAAGCAAGAAAGAAGGAAGCAGCATGTTGTAAACTTGGACTCCAACTCAGACAACATATGGATCTGTGAAACTTGTAACATGTTGTGTCACTTTTGAATTGGGCTTGTCAGCCACAAGTGGATTAATCAGACACCTGACTAGACCTCTTACCCAGAGATCCAGAGAATTGACAGTTGCCTGTATATATAATTTAAGGGAAATATACAAGTTAGAAAGTAGAGTCAGAGAGTATCTATGCATTTAAACAACGGCATATTTGCCAAGTGGCAAAGAAATTGGGACTGAAATTGTGTTAAGCACTTAAGCCATTATACACTTACTCAATATGAATAGAAGTGATATGGCTTTACTCATATAATTCTACCAGCAAGACTTGCTAGTGTACATATAGCTTACACTGGCAAAAATAGCTAACCAAAACAATTCAGTTAGCAAAAACACATTTATGCTGGTATAACAAAATCTAGACTATTTTTTCTGGCATAAAGATATCACAAAGCAATTGCATAGGAACTAACACTATATTAACAACATGTGATGGGATAAACCTAGCCTTCTAGCTGCTTCAACCCTCTGATGCTTTCTGATCCCAGTTTCATTCTCCAACTATACACTCCACTAGGTGAACATCAGATGGAATTGCTTGACTATGTAGCAGCAAAGTTCCACGAGGAAGCTGGCATCTTCAAGCTATTGGTATAAACCCTTAATTATTTTACTTTCTGCATCAGCCTTGTGCTTTCAGAATAGTTTGCCCTATTTGCTCATAATATACTTATTCATTTTGTATCATTATAATGCAGATCATTGACTCCATTATGGCACTCTTCCGTGTGGATTTTAGTGGCCGTGGGGAGTTGGCTGAACGGCAACAGAAACTTGCTCAGATGTTATCAAGGCTCCAGAAAATCTCAGAGGGTAAGGAAGACTTTGCAAAAAAGAGTGAAAATCTCTGGAAGCTACTAAAAAGGCAGTTGCTAGTTACTGCCTAACACTACCACCAAATATCTCCAATGTATTTATCAAATACAGCAAATCCTTCATTGCCTTATATCACCCACCACCAGAAAATTATACCTCTAAATCATTTAACTTCAAATTGACCAGTATAAAACTCTCAGGGTTCTTCAAAATGTAGAGGTTTCTTAGAATTATTATTTGTTTTACAGCAGTGTCTAGAAGCCCAAACTGAAAGAACTGGGGCACTTTGTAAATACATAGTAAGAGACAGCTTCTGCTCTAAAGAGTTTATATTCTAAATAGACAAGATGAAAGTAGGAGGTAAACCGGAGGCCCAGAAAAGTAAAGTAGCTTGTTCAGCTTCGCATTCTCTTAGCACTATAAAATGTCATGAGGGATTATGACTGGATAAGTAGCAGGATACATTCTTTCCTCTCTTTGGAGTGATTCAGAACAGTACGTTCTTCCTGTAAAAGTGTTCTTCCTGCAGAATAAAGAAAAAAAGAAAAAAAACCTTCTAAAATTGGATTTTCAAAACTGCTCAGTAGGTGTGTGCGAAGTGGGCTGTATTCAATTCGGATTCAGCCTGAATTGGCGACAGTGATTTGATTTGTTGATTTGGATCACTGTCCCCGATTCGATTCGGCTGAACCTGAAGACTCGATGCTTATTTGGAGAATCTGCAATTCAGCCCTAGACATAGCTTTAAATGTTTTTTACATACCTTGAGGTACCAGTGCAGCTTGTGCATGCTGTGATGCTGGGGTGCATGAAGCATCCCACAGGAGCATGGGGGTCCCCCTGTGTGCTTGGCAGTGAACCTGGAAGTGGACCGGAAATATTTCTGGTCCACTTCCGGGTCTGTTGGGGAGCATGCTAGGGGGCCCCCCCACCTCCCCGGCTTGGCAGTTGGCCCTGGGTGTCCCCCCAGACCCACCAGTCGCCAAGCCAGGGCAGTGTGAGGGGTCCCCCCAGTGAGCTCCCCAGCAAACCCAAAAGTAGACCGGAAGTGCTTCTGGTCCACTTCCAGGTCTGCTGCCAAATGTGCTGGGGAGCCCCCCCGTGTTCCTGTGGGACGCTGCATCCGCCCCAGCATTGCAGCATTCACAAGCCGCCTGCTACCTTGAGGTAGGTAGAAAAAACATTTAAAGTTGTGTCTATATCCGAATCGCCGAATCTTTCGGAATCTCTCCAAATTGAGAGATTAAAGGGTCTCCTGATTCGATTCAGATTCGGAGATTCAGCCACCAAATTGGGTCTAATCTCCGCCAAATCAAAATCAGGGACCAAAGCTTTGCACAGCCCTACTGCTCAGCATTAACTTACCTCTGCTATTACTGAAGTTAAATGGGAACAAAGCCCAGCAGTGATCACTTTTGAAAATTCTATTCCTAAGTAATTCATACCAGAAGAGAGATGGAGAGACATTCTCTTGTTTGTGAAGCCCTAGAACTGTTTAGCAAGCAATAACGTCTTTTGTGCCATTTTTGCAATGATATGCATGAATTCCAATTGGATATCTTCCCCTTTCTCTTGTCCTTTGTTGTAGAATATAATGTGGCTGTGTTTGTGACCAATCAGATGACTGCAGATCCAGGGGCAACTATGACGTAAGTCACTTACCCTCCTTTTTTTCTTTTACACTGCCCCTTTCATATTGTATACTTAATGGAAATGGAAATTGGGGTTGCATGGGGAAGGACAAGCACACGTGTCAAAATACAATTTTTATTTTTAAATAGGATTAGGTCTGGGTTATGACTGCCCCTCCTAGTGCGGTTAGCCCTCATACATTCATATGACTCTATGGCCATTCATTTTCTGCTTGTTGTTGATGGCTCCTTTTACTGGCTTGAATTTAAGACAGAAGTCAGGGTAGATACACATTTTTACAGATTTAACTAAATAAGCCATGTTAAAAGTGCTAACCAACATTTTTAGTAGTTTATGGGCAAAGATGAAGGGTGGCGATTTTAAAATGTTCAGCAGTGACCTAACTCTGATCCTGTTAAAGTCCATGGGAGCAGTAATAATTAGACTAACACTGAGCACTTTGACAATCCTACTTAAAGGCATACGTGTAACAAAAGCTTAGCTAAATCCTTTGTGATACATCTATTTACCTGAGACTATCACACATTGTCTGACAATTATAGTAGTTATTCCATGGAATTCATAGAGACACTTAATCATTTTTTCTGAATTTAGTTTTCAGGCAGACCCTAAAAAGCCCATTGGTGGCCACATCTTGGCCCATGCTTCAACCACAAGGATCAGCTTACGGAAGGGGAGGGGGGAGCTGCGCATTGCCAAGATATATGACAGGTAAATTACCTCTTTGTGGAGAGGACCTGTGTTATGTGGACAATTAATGGGAGACAAAGTCCATGCTCCTGGGACGTGACAGCCTCAGAGCTGATAGCTGAATTTCAAATTAAACGTGTTTTTGGATTATATTTTGAGAAAAAAGAAAGACAAATTAATTAACCAGGTGGTCTAATTTTAAACTTTCTCACAAGCAAATGAAACTGGAAATTCAGTTAGCATAATATCCACCATATATTTGTCTTAAGTAGACTTCCAAATTGGTATAATTGCTGGTCTGTTCCCAGGAAAGGTCCAAGGCTGGAATAAGAGGAGCTTCCATGGATCAAGATTTATATTAACAGCTTATATAAAGCCACAGAAAGAATAGATAAGGACTAATTCGCTTTAGCAGAACAGCAATGGGATTTCCAGGTGGTATTCCTGGAATCAGGGGTGTGGCAAAAATAGAATACATGGATGAAAACCTAGATAGCCAGATTCTATAGTTGTGACATGTCTCTTAACCAACCACCTCCCTTTCCACCCTTCCACCTCCAAACAGGAAACCTAAATCATAAAAAGCCCTGCATTTTTTGTGACAGTTATTAGTCTTTATTTGTGAAGGGCTTAAGGAGGAATTAACTAGTATGCAGACCTTGGGTTTATCCTGTTCATAAGGAGGTTTTCACACTTTTTGGTTACTGATCCTGACAGAAAATGTCTACAATGTACAAGTGGGCACAAGGGCTTTGATTAATATTTTAGCTTGTTTGTGCTGATAACATTTTGGGGACTGCATTTTGAAACAGAGAAGAGAGATACTTCCTTGCTTATTTTACCCACCAGCCCTGAGATGCCTGAAAATGAAGCCACGTTTGCCATAACTACTGGAGGAATTGGGGATGCCAAAGAATAAGCAGAAACCTGGCAAAAATCTCCATCTGAAAACCGCCCAGATAAAGCCAAAGTATCCAAGGTTACTGACTCCCTGATTACTTTGTATTTTTCAGGCTCAGTTTTGGATATTTAGAATTGGGAGCACACTAGAAAGTTATTAGAAGATCATATTTCAATGATCTAAACAGGAACTGGTTCATGTTATTTCTTTTTTTTAAATGAAATTTGCAGCAGTCAGAAATTTACAAAGCAAAGAAACTTGTGACTCATTCAAGAAATGTCTTCTTTAGGGTTTGTGAGAAGTAAAGCTGTTTTATCTTATGGGCTTAATGGGACCTTTTATAGTTTCTTGGAAAGAGAATGTCTGTGAGATAGGGTGTACACAGCATGGAATAAAACAGCATTGAAACAAACATGGTTTAAAAAAATGAGTGGTTAATACATAGAGGGGAAACGTAGTGGACAGAGACAGGAATACAGGAACTTGCTAGATCTCATTGAGAATAGAAGAATGATAGTTACTTGAAGACAATTTTTAGAAATTTTAATCTTGATTAATTAGTGATTTATTTGTATTTAATTCTGTTTTAGAATATTTAACAATGTTATGTATTTTCATGTTAATGGAAAATACCAAATTAGAACATCTCTTCCCTATGCTTGTGTGCAATACATATACTTTAAGTCAAAACCTGATCACCTGAACTGGCCTATTAACTTTGTTGTGAGAACTTCAGTGGGCAAACTAAACAGGATGTAGCCCAATATTTCAAATAAATAAGCAGAAAAGAAAATGTGTAAATTAAAGAAACAGTCCATGTTTAACACTTTGAGGGATTTTTAGCACCTAATAGCAAACCCTCTTTGCAGACAAAAAAAGAGCCGAATGGGAAGCCAACTTTAGCGCCTGGCTTGAGGGTTTCTATTCACCGCTAAAAAGGTGCATTTTTAACAGAGTAATTAAAGTACAAGTGCTATCATAAGGCAAAAGCACAGAGATGACAAATCACTTTAGTCTTACTGCAAGGAACTCATTGTGGTTGACTACTCTTTCTTGATGTTGACTTCAATGTATTTGCTTCGCAGTGAGACTACAGTGCGTCCTCTTCACTATAGTATTTACCTTGTGATAGGTCATAGTCATCAATTATTTTGAGGCAAGAAACAAAACTTTTAAAAAAGTTAAGTCAGATCTAGAGAAAAAATAAGGCATACCCTTTTTCATGACTTGCTCAGTCAGTCGTTTCCTGACGAGTGAAAAGAGAGAGATTATTTTATAAACCATTTCTCTTCCCATTCACAGTTACATAATACCTATGTGGCAACACGAACAATTACTTCTTTTTAGGAAAGTAACATTAGAAATATATATAATGTATGGTTTGAATTCTTTAAATGCAGTTCAGGGAAGGCTGCCAGCATCATGTGACCAGTAAATGACAACACACATCGTGAAACACAGGATAAAAGAAGCCCCAGCTTAATGCCAAAGAGGCATCCCTTTGAGAATAACATTGCAGATAGTTTAGATAACTTCTCTATTAAAATGTGGACTCAACCAGGAAAACATTTGAGAACGCCTTAGCTACACAGTTTGATCACAAAGTGGACAAAATATAAGATCTTGACATCATATACAAATACTGATGATCAATCAAGAATTTAATAAATGTAACCTGGTCTAGCATGAATTTAAATACCAGGCAGGCCACTCACCTACATAGCACATAAACAAGCAATAAAACAAGCTTTAATACATGAGAAAAGTATATTTCCCACTGTTTTATGGATGGGTCAGGGAATAATCTTCAAAATCGCTCTCAGATTTAATCATAGTTCAATTAGTTGTCAGATAGGAGGTAGGCCCATTTTTAGTCTTGAGGAATACCTGACTATTGAATAAAATGATTTCAGTGGAGCATCAACTATTTGGGAAGTCAGTTAACTAGGAAGTGTTGTATTAACAAAACCACCAGTCCACAGTTGGCTTGCTTGTCGGTGAGACAACTGTGTATTGTCTACTAACTAATGTTCTGAGCTCTTTAAGCATTACATAATACCATACGTTCATTCCTTGATTTTTTTTTTAGCTTACTACACAGAACAGTAATTAAAGTGCACTTCATATTGTGGTGTTTGATTATCTAGGACAGGGGCCAAAAGATAAGGCTACCTGGCTGCATCTGGCCTGCAGAACTCCATCATTCAGCTTCCAGTGCTGCTCCTGTGTCCAAATTAACCCATATAGTGCATGCCAGACCGGCCCTGCACATAAGGCCTGGGATGCGCACCACATACCATGCTGGCTTCAGGATCTGCGCTATACCTGGTGCCAGCCCCAGCTCATCCAGTACTGTGCCACACAGGTTCCCTTCCTCTCCCACTGCCTTGCGTCTTCCCCAGCCAGTCCAGGATATGCACCACACACAGTGCAGTCCTAGACCAGTGGTGTGGGCACCGCGTACAGCATGGATTGTGGACCAACTGGACCAGATACCATGTGTGGTACAGATTCCAGACCAATGCAGGGGGGAGGGGCCACCGTGTGCAGCGCAGATCCTAGAACAGACACCGTGGGCACTGGTCTAGCATGGGGGTGAGGGGAGTTCACAGGTCCAATCCTGCCAGTGGACCAGCCCCATGCCACTCATCCAGCCCACGCTGCCTGTTGAGTTTGACACCCCCATCTAGGAAAACTGATTATCCAGAATTATAGTGACACTAATCATTTGGGATAACTGAAGTTCTATTGTATTTGTTTGCAACATCTTTTGTCAGCTTTTACAAAAGTAAGGGCGTAGAATTTGTGTAGGCCAGATCCTCCCTTCTGTGAGTGGGGAAAGACTTCTGCAAAGGACAAGAAACTCACTCTGGATATGTTGTGGGGCAACAAGGCTGCAAAGAGCAGATGTCTCCTAGCGCTCCACCATGCCTTAAAAAAGTGTTTTTTTTCTGTGGTTGATATGAAATTGCAGAGCTGATATTACTCCTTCCAGTTCCCCCAACTGTCACACACCTGCGGGGCTTCACAACTTCCACTTGCTATGGCCAAGAGAGCATTGGGCTTTGTAAAGCTACAAGAATCAGAGAAATCCAATACTGTAAGCAACATTAATTTCAGTTACAAACCTATGAAATCCTATTGATTTCAGTGGAATTACACATCTATGACTGAAAGCAGCATTTAATCAGTCACTATTACTAGGTTTAACACTTCAAAACATTATCTGACTAATCTCTTTTAAAACATGAACCAGTTAGATGCAACAGAACACTTTTAAGTAGAGCCAGTTCTAGCAGAGACTAAAATATCTTGGCTCGTTTATTTTAGCAAAATGGAGGCTGAAAGGATTTGTTTAATCTGTATAAATACATGATAAGGGGGCAGGGAGGGAAACACTTTAAACTAAAGGGCAGCCTTGGTACAAGAACAAATAGGTATAGAGAGCAAATAAATTCAGTTTGGAAACCAGAAAACCCTAACAATTAGTATAATCTAATTATGGGGCCACTTGGAATTATGGGATGGGGGGAGAGCTAATTTTAAAACGGCCCTTGAACAGTTTATATGCTACTGGTGCTGCAATAGGAGGGGGCTCCTCCACTCAACCCTGGAGACTCTCGGTCCTAGCATATTGCAGAGCATGGCACGGAGAAACATCTGGGCAGTCTAACAGTGCCCTGCACATTATCACTTCACGTAGTTTTTGCCCAGGTTGTCGCGAACGATTCGGAGAGCTGCCGGGCCTGCACAGAGGCACGTTCATTTAGTCCGGCGGAATGTCTGTCTGCTTTCCATTTCCTGGAAGCAGGGGAAGAGCGAACATCATGGCTGCCCCCCGCACTGCACCATTGCTCCTAGGCGGCCGGCAGGCCAGAAGTGCACGCTCGCGCAAGGCCCTGCCTGCTGGGCAGACACGCCGAGCTCGGGGCGGGCTGTGACACTGGGCAGGGGACACAGGGGACGGTCTTCGGGCTGCAGAAGAAAGCCGCACAGGGAGACCCCCCAAGCGCTGCAGCTCCAGTCGCAGCAGACACGGGTTATTGTCTCCGCAGTGCAATGCGGCCTCCCGAAGCTGCAGCCCGCTAAGGGAAAGGGCCTTATTCTTCAACCACGATACGCTGCACCCTGTACGTGGTTTTACTGCCCTTTCCCTCCTACCCCGCTCCGTTGCCGGCTGAGCGAAACCCACTGAAAAATTTTACGCAAAATGGACGGCACTTCCTTCCCGCGGCACCTCCAGCTCAGAGCCAGCGGCCGCTACGCAACCTTCGTACGCCTCGTCCTTACGTAACGTGCCGCTCGGCCAAAGCCGTCTCCCTGCTTCATAGCTAGGTTGTGCGATTGGCACTTTGCGTAGCCGACTTTTAGGAATAGGGAGAACGTTGCCTTCCTACGCGAGGCTCTCACTCCGCCGGAGAACCCTACGTCACTTTCTTAAGGGGCCTGTTGTTCTGGCCCGCTTATTCGCAAGGGGCCGCCTGCGTACTCGGAATTCGAGAATAGGCGCTGCTCCTCGGACACGTAGCCTACGTAATGTTCGGGCCGCCCTTAACGTAAGCTGAGCGGGCTGGGGCGGCGGCGGCCATTTTGTGCCGGGGGTCCGGAGAAGGAAGACGCTCGGTGTCCGCGCCTAACGGGCCCCGCCGTCCCCGAGCCTTCCGCGGCCCTCGCCCCCCCGCCCCTCCCTCGCGCGCTCAGCCCCGCTCCCCCCGGCACCATGGACTCCATGCGCAGCTTTGGGGACCGCGGCCGCGACCGTGACCGCGGAGGGTGAGTTTCTTCTCCTCCCCCATCGGGGCCCGCTAGGGGGGAGTCCCCCCCGGCCTGGTGTCCCCCCCGGGTCCCCTCGCCTGGGGGGGGGATGCAGCCTTCGGCCCCGGCCCCGCTCTGCATGGCAACGCCTGGGTGCCCCAGGGAGCCCCCGCCTCTGGGGAAGTGCTCCGAGAGGGTCATGTGGGGCGGCCCGACCAAGCCCTGCTGGGTGACCCCGTCTGCGACTGTGGTAGGTTGTAGGGACCCTCCTAGACGTGGGGAGTAGCTCCCGGTTCAGTCTCCAGCCTGTATCTCTTTCGGCAGCCAGGATCTTCTCTGCAAAGGCCACAAAACATTTTGATCCCCTTCTCGTGCAGTTTCCCAGGTCTCGCTTCTCCTGGGACCCAGCTCAGTGTGAGGAGAGTTGGTCTCGTGATTATTCACAACAATCTGGTACCTCCAAAATACTTGATAGGAAATGTGTGAACAGACCTGAATTACCTGGGGAAGGGAAGGGAATTGAGGCAGGACAGTGGTTCTACTGTAAATCTCCACAGAAAGTTAAAACTGCACATAAAATAAGTTTAAATGGCATATAAGAACTTGGCTTCTGAGAAATGAGGACACACCTTTATTTTTCCTTCCTTGAAAACTGAAGACTGGGGGGGGGTGTAGATTGGTAAGAAGGAAATGGCCTGCTTGCTACACTTAGGTTTACTTTCTCCTCCTGCCTTGGTGAGATTCAGGGGATTTTTTTTTTCTTGTGTACATTGAAGTGCTTATTAATGTTATTTCCCTCAGAAGAGTAGGGGGAGCACAGAGCTGCACTCTCATTTTATGTTTACATTCTCCACACACGTCTTCTGAAATGAAAAGATCCTTTCAGTTACTTGACAGAGAAGCAGGCCTCAGTGTTTTTCCACTCTGAGCTTTCCAGCTGGTTTAAGGCAAGGACATTGGGGTAAACACATCTGCAAGTTGCTGATAGTGGAGGCCTCGCTCTTTTTTGGAGTTGAGTGAATAGTAGTGTGCAATATTGTACTTAAAGGGCCAGAGTCTGTATCCTTAGTACACCCCATTTTGATGTATTTCCATTTGTAACCTCTTATTTGGGGTTAATTTTTTTCTTGATTCTAAATAGGTATTTATTTTTAAGAATTCTACTTACGAGATTTATTTTTAAGCCATTGTAGGCGTAGGACTCTCTAATCTAGACTCTTCTGTGCTTTTTGGGTATTAGACTGATATTGAAATGCTTCACTTCAATAAATGTTAAATGAGTGGAGTAATCAAAGAAAAGGTTATTTTTATTTAACTAAAATGTTCTGCACCTCTTTTATTTTGAATGCAAGCAGTTTAAAAGACTATGTGAAAAGTGCAGAATCAGAAAGGGAGAACTACTTGCCCCTGCCCTCTTTTTAGGGTTCCATTCACACACAGTGTATATTAACCCTGATTTCATTCAGAATAATCCACTTATTTTGCCATGTGTTGTAATAACAAAAAGTATTTCAGTGATGTATCTTTATGAACTTCATCTTTTAAGATGCAAAGCCATTTTTAATCGTTTGCTGTCATCAAGATGGCACAAGAGGTTTGAAAGATAACAGGCATTTCCCCCAGCAGGGTGGCCAGATTCCAGCTGGATGGTACATTTTGCTTGCTGTCAATTCCCCTTGTATGGTCAGCTGGCTATGCAAGTCTTCCTTACTTCCCATCTTGAACAAACTAGGTGACTTTTTAGGTTTGGAAGTGATGCTGTGCTGCTTTGGCACTGAATAATCTGTTATTTAATTCTGTCTTAGAGGTGGCTTCACTACAGTGGTTGACATGATAGCTGAATATTTAATATCAGTCAGTAGTGGTACTATTGAACTAGTAAAAATGTGGAATAAATCTATGCTAATTAGTAGAAGTACTCCAGGCAAATGTCCAACATGTCTGGTCCTGTGGGCCAGGTGAGTGTCATGGAGCCAGTCCATGGGTAGCATCAGGAGCAGGGAGCTGCATCATCTGGCCTGAGGAGTTGAATTTGGTGGCAGTAGCCTTGATAACTATGGCTCCTGAAGCCACAGCAGCAGCTGTGCAGGCCAGATGATACCACTCTGCACTCCAGATCTGACTCTTGGGACTCCCCACAGGTCTGGAAGTTTGCGAGTGGCAAGGCAGCAGCATTAATTGCCACTGGGGTTTGCTCTGCCACTGCTTGCTCCACCACCAAATGTATGGACCTGTGAGGAGCCTTGTGGTATGCAGACCATATCTTGGTCACCTTAATCTAGCTTTATACTGGTATAATTCAGATTGAAAATCTTAAACATAATTTGTAGTTGCAACATAACACATCGCAGAATCATAGAAAATTAGGGTTGGGAAGGGCCTCAGGAGGTCATCTAGTCTAACCCCCTGCTCAAAGCAGGACTAGCCCCAACTAGATCATCTCAACCAAGGCTTTGTCTATCTGGATTTTGAAAACCCCCAAGGATAGAGCTTGCACCACCTCTCTGGGTAACCTGTTCCAGTATTTTACTCCCCTCCTAGTGAGAGAATTCTTCCTAATATCCAACTTAAACTTGCCTTGCTGCAACTTAAGACTGTTGCTCCTTTGTTCTGTCATCTGCCACCCCTGAGAACAGTAGCCTCCCGGTTCAGGTAGTTGAAGACTGCTGTTATGTCTCCTTTCAGTCTCTTCTCTAGACTAAATAAGCCCAGATAAATAGTGGAATATCTAAGACCATGGAGAAAGGAAAGAGGGTTGTTAACACCTGTTGGGTGAAGAGCAGTTAGTAGGAATCAAGTATATTATAATGGGCCACTAAGTCAGTTGACTCCCTCAGAACTACCTGACTAGAAATGCTACTGTGCTGTTCTAGACAGAAAATCAGCTTCCTTGCTTAAGACATACAACCCAATTTTGCAGGGCTTATTTTTGGGGGAAAGGTTTGTGGGGTGCATATAAATATGGTATAGCATAATTTTGTATATATTCCCTTTGGGTGGTCATTAGCAGATGTTAATAACCAAATATTTTAGTGTCAATTTTTTTTGCCTTTGCTTACTGTTGTTTTGTAAGTAGTTTTGACCTCCCTGGGGCTATCCACGTCAGTAAAGTTACTTAAGTGCCATAAGCATTTGGAACGTCATGCCCTTAACTCACATTGTCAATCAGAGACAGATCCAGGGCTTCTGGAATACTTCTGTAAATAGTAACTTGGAGTGGCTTCAGATCTTGGCCCAAAGAAAAAGTCACTAATAATAAAATACAAAAATAATAATTTATTAATTGTAAATTACTTTTGGAATCTTTTGTTAAAAATTATAGAACAATTAGAAGCTGTCATGTTGATGAGCTGATACAGAATGGGACTAAGAAATAAGCCATATTCATGTTTAAAGTGAAAGGGGCTGTCAAAAATGCAAATTTTATTTTGTTTTGTTTTTGGGTTTTTTTTTAATGTTTACCCTGGATGAAAAGTGGATTAACTCCTCTCAAGAGTAGTAGTGAATTTGATTTGACATCTAGCAGTATAATTCCTTTTCCAGTCAGACAATAGGTTCTGCTTTCTTCTTTGAATCCTACCCTGTACCTTGGGTTGGGAAAGTTTGTGGGCACACCTAGTTAATATCAGCATGGAAGCCCATTTGAAGTGTTACAGATAACTAGGATTGTTTTTTAAAAATGAGATTTTTACTCTGCTGTTAACTTTACATTTCAGTGAACTTGGACAACATAAAAAAAAAAAAAGCTCGCTTCATTTCAGTTGTTAGTTTTTAATTTTTAGATTTTCAGTTGTAGGCACTCATGCACAAGGGTGGTGCTATGTTTATGGGCAAGCACTGTAGCAATCTTGTCCTTCTATGAGCAGTGTAAACAAATCAAATGCTTTTCTTGATGGCAGGTTTTAAAAATGCCCTTTTTAAAAAACTAATCCTAGATTTAGGGTGAAATTTCAACTGACAGTATTTAGAATGGCAACTTCTACATAGATCTGTCAGAGTAATTAAACCAGTAACTGTTTTAAAAACAATTTTGAAGCTGTATTATTAAGTCAGCGTTTAGAGTAGGTACTGTCAGTCAGTGCTGTAGTCTTCAGCCACTCTCAGCAGTTGTTGCAACAGCTCACATTTTCTCTTATAAATATACAAAGTAATTTCTTATGAATCCCCTGCTTCCTAAAACTAAGACTTAAGTAGAAGGTAAGGGGTACTAATTTCTGAATGTCTCTGCTAGACATGTTCTTGCACAATTCTTTTTTCTTGAAATGGTCAGTAGAAATGTTTAAGATGAGTTAGCAAACTTTTGTCTCTTCCTGGGCTGCAAGCCTACCCCTTCCTGCCCCAGCTCTCCCATTTGCAGTGAGGGTAAGTGTTGTAGGTCAAGATAGCAGATCCCTGTCCCTGTGGAGTGGATAAGACCTTTGAGGGTCAGATCCAGCCTGCAGACTGTTGCTAACCCCTGATCCAAGAGACAGGGCCCAATTTCCAGTGTCCAGATCTTTCTACTGTGGCCCCAAGGAAGGTTCTAGCTGCTTTGTAACTAATACAGTTCTACCAAGAGAAAATGCCATAATTTTGAGACCTGTTTGCTTCCGATTTGCACATTGCATTCCATTGTCTTCTATTTGTTGACTGCCTGGCAAGTACATCTTAAGAAGGAAAGAACAGGTGGGAAACAAACTCATTATTTTTGTATTGAATTGATTATCAGGTGGGTCTTGTGGCATGCTCTGCACTGATGGAACAAGCTTTGAAGAAACTTTACAAAATTTTGTGTGTAAAACAGTGGCATCCAACCTTTTTGCAGACATGCTACAAATTAGCTTTGTGCCTTTCCTGAGTGCCAGTTTAGTTCTCTTCCCCTGTCCAGTCTCCTGCACTTTCTGTCTTATTTGCTGCTGTGCTGCTTGTCCTCTCCCTGGTCTACTGTGAGGCACATGCAGAGACTGCCCATGCCGCTTGTGTCACATGTGCTTCAGGTTGGTCACCCCTGAACTAAAACATAAATGTCATGCATATGCTAACAGAATTGTCTTGAGACAGAAAACATTTAGGCCAGTGGTTCTCAACCTTTTTATAGACTCAAGATATCCTTCCATAACTTTTGTGACTTGAGCAGAAAAAAGATTATTTGAGCATTCCAAAAGATTATTTATAACCGTGCTTACCTGCTTAAAGAAGGGCTTGGGAGGAGTAGAAGCAGCTGGCAGGTCTGGCCTGCACTTCTGTGAATGGGGTAAGGAGGAGTGTTTGGAAGGAAAGAGCCTACACTGATCTCCTAACCAGAGCCTGTGCTTATTTTGCCTATTTTGTCTGTCCTGGTAGCACACTTCAGAGGCTCTTATGGCACTCAAGGGTGCCATGGGCCCTTGGTTAAGAAACACTGCTCTAGTCAGGAGCCTGAAGATAAGAGCTGTCTTAGGAAGGAATTACACTGGATTGGATCTAGGGTAAAATTTATTAGATTAGGGTAGATTTACCTTGGTTTGGGGGTAGCATCATGTATTTACCTTGGTTTGGGGGTAGTAGCATCATGTGATTGTAACATCCCCATTTCCCTCCCCCCTGCAGCTGGGGGTTTTCCTGGGATGGTCTTCCTGTTTGTAAATCAGGAGCTTAATTGAAGAATAGTTTTGAAAGTGTTTGAGATCTGAAAATACAAGAGAAGTGAGCTTCATTTGTAACTTGCTTTTTTTTTTAAATAATTAATATTGGTTGTTCCCTGCCCCTCCCTTCAGGTTTCTTTCTCCAAAGAAATTTGGTAATCCAGGAGAGCGTCTCCGTAAAAAGAAGTGGGACCTCAGTGAGTTGCCCAAGTTTGAGAAGAATTTTTATGTGGAACATCCAGAAGTGGCCAGGCTCACTGCAGTAAGTTTTTTCTTTTTTTCTGTTCTTTTAATTTTTGGTACACTGGGGGAAACTTTTAAAGGTGGTAACAGTTCCCGAAACTTATTGGGATAATTGCATTTTCCCTCTCCACAGCCTGTTATGTATGTATGTTAGATACAGAAGTATTTCTTTTGGTTACTTGTTCAGTTACTTTCAGAGTTACAAATATGGCATGTTTCATCGTTGTAAACTGCATTGTTCAGAAACTTTCCTGGAATAGTATTTGAGGCAAGCTGGAAAGTTAAGGGAAAACTTGCTGAAACAGCCCAATCCACTGCTGCTAGTGGATGAGTAATTAGGAACAACAACAAAAAAAGAGGTAGTTATAACATATTGTTGTCCTGTGGTAATATTTTAATCCCATCTTCCTGTTTTTGGTGCATTTGTTTTTGTTTTTTCCCTTTCCCCAGTCCTCTGGTTCTCTTCTAGAAACTGAAAAGATGTCTCCTATAACTTTAATGCATCACTTCTATATTGTTCAACACTTTCTGACAGGAAAATTATTCATAAGTGCTCCTTGCATAGCAGTTCTAGATTATGATCTACAGCATGGAGTTGTGCATTTAGCTCCCAATTTAATTGCATTAATATAAGGGGAGGGGCTACCCTGCCTCCTTCCCATCCTTAGTCAGTAATCTATTCCGTTGTCCCTCTTTACCTAATAACTGAGACCTCTGAAACCAAGTTGTCAGCGAAACTGTTAGGGAGTCTCTTGACAATTGCTATCAGAAGCATCTGCACCAAGTTGTTGCTCACCACTTGGTTGGGTTTTTTTGTTTGTTTCCATAAATAGTTTGAGGTTGAAGAGCTGCGAAGGAAGAAGGAGATTACAATTAGGGGGGCAGAAGCCTGCCCCAAGCCTGTGTTTGCCTTCCACCAGTGTAACTTCCCACGTAAGTATTCTGTTATTCAAGATACTAATAGTTCTGTTTGGGAAAGGGAGGAAGTCCTGGGAGCACATGTTGCTAATCAAGCCTGTTTAGTTTTAGGAGGAGTTTTTTCAGATCTACATGTAGCCTTGTACAGTTTAATTGGAAAAGTAAACTTTTAAGAGAGATGTTGACTTGTTGTCACTGAGACTTAAAAGTGAGAAACCTGAAATTATTCTCAGTCCAGGTTGTTTAGGCCAACTTCCCCTGCATCTGTCTTCAGATTTGATTTCTTCTGTTCTTATTTAAGTAGTTTGCCTTCACTGTCTCTTTAAATTGCAGAGTATGTAATGGATGTCTTGATTGATCAGAACTTTTCAGAACCCACCCCGATTCAATGCCAGGGTTTCCCACTGGCCCTCAGTGGTCGTGACATGGTGGGCATTGCTCAAACAGGCTCTGGGAAGACATTGGCGGTATGTTTTACACTATTGCTTTATTTGAATTTCTGTTTGGTTTGTGGTTGGTCTTGCCTTGCCATTTAGACAAGTGCAAAGAGTGAGGTAACGTTTTAAAAATACTTGTTTTATTATGGAGTAAAGACTTAAGAAGCAAGTAGCATATGAGTATACTTTGCAAGCCTGATCTTATCTGTTTTCTAATGCTTAATACCTTTTTAAAGTTGGGTTGTTTTCTTAGATGCCTAGATGTGGTCATCCAGGTTTGAAAACTGTATTGTGTTGAGTAGAGGTGTCTTGCTTGTTCTGATGTATGGGATATTGGCTGCTTTAGCAAAGATATAAGGCTTTATAAATGTGTCCTTCTCTTGATCCAAGATTGTAATCATTGACCTGATATAATTGAAATTTTGTTTCATTTTAACTCAAAAACCTGTTTCTTCTGTTTCAGTATTTGTTACCTGCAATTGTTCACATCAACCACCAGCCGTATTTGGAGAGGGGAGATGGTCCAATTGTAAGTGTTACTCAGTTTTCTATCTGGAAACTTACAGATGCATTTTCATGAATATGGCATAGAAAAGAAGTGGAGAACTGTTTGTTGGGACAGTGTGGGCAGCCCATGTCTTGTACCCGTGGAAATTTGTTATGTTGCAAGTTTGATGTAGTGCAGTGTTTTTCAGGCAGTAGAGTGTTAACAGGCTAATAAGCTCTATCCTGGATTCATGTCTTTCACAGTGTTTAGTTTTAGCTCCTACACGAGAGCTGGCACAACAAGTGCAGCAGGTAGCTGATGATTATGGCAAATGCTCAAGACTGAAGAGTACTTGCGTATATGGAGGAGCACCCAAAGGTCCCCAGATCAGAGACTTGGAGAGAGGTAATAGTGTTCTCGCTTCTTTAAATATCCCTTGTATTTCAAAAGTTAGCATTAAGGTGATTATAGAATCTCAGTCTTGTTCTTGTTGTTTAAAGTCACTAGGAAAACAGGCAAAGGGTGAGTATTGACCTACCTACAGTAATTTAGTGCAACTTTCACCTCTGCTTGGTATGTGGGTACAATACCATGTTTGCTGTCTTATTTATATTTGTCCCACCACCACTGCAGTGGCGTAAGCAGCCTGTCCCCCTTGCTTGCCTGCCTGCCTCCTTCCAGTGATGTCTACATCTCCACCCCCACAGTTTGAACTCTAAGTATTTTGCCTTCAGAGGTATACAAATAGTAAACCCCCATTTCTGTTACAGCAGAATCTTGTTTTAAAAGTCTCTTAATATACTTCAAATTCTTTTTCTTTATAGCTTTAAAGGAAAGCTAGAGTATAGCTTTACAGGAAGCTTTTTCTTCCTGTGTACTATTGCCTGTTGCATCTCTTGCAGCTATTGCAGTCTCTTAAGAAGGGTTCAGAGGTAGGCTTACTATATTGAGGGATTCACAATTTTGCATGGGTAATAAAAATAAGTGCTCAAATGACTTATCATTCATATCCAAGGCCAAGTTCATGTTTATATGTTTAAAAGTACAGTGTTAAAGTACAATACCCCAAACCAAGGAACTTTAATGTAATGCATGGCATGAATAAAGTGCATTCTGAAAGCCTTTCACACCTAAATTACATGCATCTTATCAGGAAATCCATGTTTCTCTTCATACAATGTTTTGCTGCTGGGGGAAAACATTCTTGAAAAATTCAGTAGTTCAGTGGATAAAGTATACTGGAAGTCAACAGGGCAGCTTTTTCCTGAAGAAAATTACAGTGCACTCAGAGGAGCAGGAATTTGAAGTTAAGATTACACATGCTGATCTGTGGGGTCTTAACTTGGTGCTCTGTACACAGTCAAGGTTCTACAAAATAGACATCTTCCAGAACTGTAGCATATGGTTGGAAGGTATTGTAAAACGTGATTCCCCTGCTCCCCCGCCCCCCCCCTTACCATTTTTGCTCAAATATGACCCACCAATAATTAGAGTCTATATAGAGGTGCACCAATACATCGGTCCAATATCGGATCGGCACTGATATAAAGAAAATTGGCTGTATCAGAAATTGACCTGATGCAGCCCATAGTTTGGCAGGTAAATGCTCGTGCATGTGCGCAGCTGCAACACAGCACATAGGCAGCAAGGATCAGAGCCTGACAGCTTGGAGAGCTGTCTATAGCAGGTAGATCCATTATGATGCAAGGGGAGGGGGTAAGGAAGGAGCATGGGTGGGGGAGGAGCTGGGGCTGCACTGGGCTCTTCTCAGCAGGGGCTGGGCTCAGGGCAGGCGGTGGCGCTGGGAGGGAGGCTAAAGGGAGCTGCAGCCATCCCAGATTTTGCCATAGGCCCCCTCCCAGCACCACCGCTGCCTGCCCTGAACCCAGCACCTGCCGAGAGGAGCCCAGTGCAGCCCCGGCTCCAGCCCACAGCTGCAGCCCACCCACCTTGCCCCATGCAGATCTTTCCTCCCCCTCCCCGACTCCTGGACAAGCGCTCTGTCCTGTGTCCCACCCCGGCTGGGCAGTCTGTCCCTGCCCTACTCCTCCCTCACAGCAGAATGCGTTGACGTGCCTCCCCAGCACCCCTTCCTTCCCCTCGCCCCTTTTACCACAATGGACTTACAGCTGCTGTGTGCAGCTGGTATCAGAAATCAGATCAGTATTGGCCGATTTAAGCCTCCTTAAAAATCGGCTATTGGTATCACCCCCCAAAATCTCCATCAGTGCACCCCTATATATATGGAAAACTTATAAAATTGTTAGTTTTCCAGGCATGGAATCTAATTATTGGAGGTGCACCTTGAATTTGTCCCCCTCCCACTGCTACAGCAGAGAAGATTAATCTGGAGGGAGGGTGTCAGGTGGCTACCTTGCCATCTGTTCCCTGCAGCCTACCCCACCCCCCTGTCTTACTGTCAGATCCTGCTTTCCCTGGCCGCGTCCAGACATGTAGGTCCGTATGGGTTGTGGCACCGCAAACCTCGTTGTGGTGCCACAAACCACGCACCCAGAATGTTAAAATGTGCCCTGCGCTCCAAATACAGGCAGTCCTCAGACTTATGACCCAATTGGTTCCTGAAAATGTAGGCTTGAGTTGAAATGTCGTAACTCCAAACCAATTTTTCCATAGGAAACAATGTTATAAAAGCGGGATGGGGTTCTGAACCAAGGCCTGATACCCTATTTTCACCAAAAATAACCCAGAATTTTGTACTCAGTCAATTACAGATGAGTAATATAGGAACATTAATGTATTTATATTGTAAATAGCAATCGTATTGATTTGAAAGGACTTCTTTGAGGTGACTTTGCTGGACTTTTTGAAGGGTTCTTGGCTGGAGTTTTCTCAGGAGTCTTGGCTGCAGTTTTTTGTTTTTTTGGAGTCTTGTTGCTTTCTTAAAGTGTCCAAGGAAGTTTGGACACATGTTCTCCACAGAGGTGGGCAATGCCAGGCCTGGCGCCGCCCGCTCCCGGCCCATGGGCACAGCTCTGCAGAGAAGTGGCAGCAGTGGTGC